GGTGGTATTGTACAGAGTTAATGTGGGTAGATGTGCATGGAGCATTTTGTGGATGCTTGTCCATGAGGGGATGGTGCTGCTATTATTTCATGCCATGAGAGGAATGCATGTTGATGTCAAGCTCACTTTTCTCTACAAGGGCGTAAACAAATTCCATCGAGACTAGAGTAATCCTCTCCCTATACGACACAAAGAAGTCGCCAACAGCTAGGCGTATAACCTTTATTATCGAAGAGTGCACTAATGATATCATCATATGTGTGAAAAGTATATATTAATATTATGATGAAGAACTCATCCTTTGATATAATGTACAAACTACAAAAATGTGGAAAAAAAAATTAATTTTACATAGAACAAAGACTGTCAATAAATCAAATGCACTATTATTGAAAAAGATTGTATCTCATGCACTTTCGCCACACAAAAGAGGGCTGAAAACATAAAATCTACCAACCAATCAAATTTGAAACTCTAAAATTTCCGGCTACCTACAAGTAAGTGCATTTGGGGACTATTGTTTAAAGATTTCTCAATCTATGCAGGTTGAGCTGTTATCGCCAAACAGATAGATACTTTTGTATCAAGTTCCTTAGCCCTCTTTGCTAGAGGGAAAGTAGCAACAGCATTTGAAAGTTCATCAACGCACTCTGTATCTAACGCTGCGCTTAATTTGGTTTTCAATGTGCCATGGTCACCACCTGCATGAGCAGTCTGTCCCTCCTTAATCATGTCAATCACTGTCTCGAAAGACTCCTTGCATGTTTTTTGAATGGAATCTTTTTTCCCTGGTTGTAGATTAACTAATGATAGTGCTATCGAGTCGCTCTTTGATTCAAGTTCCTCAGCGAGGGACAGTGTTACCTTTATGGCATTACTAATTGCGTCATGCCATTTGATTGCTCCACTGACCATCAAAACCGCAACAAATAAAAATATTTCATCAGTGCATATCAACGATGATAATGTCACTGGTGTTATTAGGGTCTTAAAAATAAACTTGGAGCTAGATGATGCCCATATTATAAAACACAATTTTAAACTTGGCTTTTTAATAATAGATGAAATTAGTTATTTATTTTCAATCCAGATCATATACCAACGATTACTACTTTCCTGGTATATTGGTTTATATGAAAATTAAGTTAAAAAATAAAACTAACATTGGTTTGTATGGCCAGAAAGAAATGGATAAAAATATTAAGATATTAGTATGGATTAAGAGAGGCTATATGAAGATTGGAGAAATTATAATATAACTATGATTAAGGCAAAAGTTATCGTGTTATACCCCACTTATTATAGTCGGGAACGGATTCTGGACCGGACTATGGGAGGGGCTAATACGTAAAAAAATTACACATGAATTTTTTTTTTTTTACATAATTTTTTTTCCTAATTATAGTTAATGTCAAGAAAGTGTTCGGTGAAAGTCATAGTCAAGTGAGGACTTAATTTGAGCAAATAATTTTCATTGAGCCTATATTACAATTACAAGTACTTAAGGGGCTAGAGAAAATATAAAATAGAAATCTAGAGAGTTAGTTTTTAATTATAGAAAATAAAGGACTAAATGTTATATAAATAAGGAGATTGGGGACTTACCTTGCAATTGTACCCACTACAACAAAAATGGTCTTCGCAACACGCAAAAGCAACATTCTTTAATTGATTGTCGAAAAAGAGGTCTATCACAACATTCTAATAAGTGAATGTTGCCATTGATTCATATAATTGAGATTTCATAATATTTTTTAAATATATGTTGCTAATGTCGATTTTTGCAACGTTCATTGACTGTTGCGAAAAGTTTTATTTTTTGAAATATTTATTGACCGTTGTTAAAAGTTCATTCTATAGTAACGGTTAGTGACTGCCGCTGAAACTTTTAATATATAACTTTTTGCAACGTTCATTGACTGTGGCATAGCATGAGGTCTTTGGTAGAATATTTATTGTTTCAGCAATGTACTATGTGGCATAGCATTTACACTTTGGGAGTTGGGAGTCCTATCTTTAAGTTTAACTCTTCAGTTCTTAAGTTTTGCATTAGTTGATGCGTGCATTCCATTTAATATGTATTTTTTAATCTGAAGCATCGTATCATTTATGTTTCTTGTTGAGTATTCAAATTAGAAGCTGATTCTTGGTCGCATCTTAAATTTATTTAGGTAAAAGAACTTTACATGCATCGTGAAGGTACATATGTTGATAAATTCAAGGAATTAGAGCTCTGATATCATGATAAAATCGAGAAAAACGAGTTGTATTGGCTGTAATGCAGGAAGAAAAGGAGCAAGAACGAACTAAAAAATACAGAGCAGAAAACCGGATAGACCTGCTGAATAAAGCAAGGAAGAAGATGAAATTATTTCATTCAACTTGCTTAAGGACATACATTGCAATCATATTCTATTTATAGAGGAAATACTAACCAATTATCTAACAAACTAACAATATAACAAACATAAGAAGAGATTAGAAGAAACTAGAAGCAAGAAGCTGGAAGAAGAGGTGAACAAGTGAAGAAGAGCTGAGCTGGTGTTCTGATGTTGCTGGTCTGATTTGGGCTGGAGAATGTGGGCTGGTGACCTTGCTGTTGGGCTAGTTTAATATTCCAAGACTCCCCCCTCAAGATGGAACATCTTTAACCGTAGAGAAGGAGAGTAGAGCCAAGCTTTTCATACATCTTGATAGCAGGTA